CTCTCTCTCTCTCTCTCTCTCTTTAAAAAAAAAAAAGTCTTATTTCACACATAAATGTCACAGTTGTATTAGCCTGATCCAGGGGTGATGGCTTAACACTCAGCTGCTATATGTTTTTCATGAATGAGTTCAAATTAAATATTTCAAAATGGAAGTTTCCACAGTCCAGTTACTTACATGTAAATCTTGTCATTGTTTTTTAAGGATTAACTGAGTATTTGATTAAAATGGTAAATTTTTGTATCTATTTTAATATTTTATATATGTTAATTGTGACTCTTATCTAGCCATTGAATTCCCATTGAGTTATTTTTTACCACTCGAAGTTTGTTATTTTACCAGAACTCAGTCCCACAGACACTTAATCTATTTGTTCATTTCTAATTGAAGCTGAGTTTTCTTTCCTTCAGGCTAGAGTTTTCTTTGGGCACAAGAAGCTGCCCAGCCTACCAATAAGGAAAGTCAAAGTGAAGGGGCAGTTTAGGGTGGCTGCTGAACTCCTATGCCCCATCAAACAACGGTAGCAAAGCAATAGATTTATAACTAACATTTTAAAATACAAAATTGGACTTTGTTGCCATTTTGCCTACAATCTCCAGGGCTTCCATTTATTCTTAGACTACTAAACACACTCCTTACAATGATCTGAATTTTTCCATGGTCTACAATTTTACCATTACTGTTATCTCTTCCTAAACTCAGTTACTCTGATGAGCAAGCTTTTTTCTAAGCTCTGTCTCTTTACATGCACTAATTCCTCTTTCTGAATCATCCCTCTCACACTCTTCCAAATTAAATATACTAGATTTGAAGAGATAATCATTTAAATAGATATATATTTTTTTACTTGGGACTACATTTCTACTGAAATTCAAACTTGAAAAAGGGATTTGGGACCACCAGGGCTTCCAAATGGTCCAGTCTTCTATACTCATTTTAGTTTGAGCATGTTTTTCCATCTCAGAGGCCATGGGAATTTAGCTTCTTCCTTTTATTTTTATTTATTTTTCTCTCATACTGAGTGAAAAATCAGTTTCATGTTTTAGCATTGTTTTCTTCCTTTGCCTAAGGGAAAAAAATCTGTATTCTTAGTTTAATAATTTGATGGTTATTTGCCATTTATTTGATAAACATTGCTTATGCACCTAGTATGTTCCAGGACATACATGGGATGCTGAATAGAAATGAAATCCAGGTCCTGACAGAGTCACCACAGCCATAACTCCCTACCCTACTGTAATTATAAAGAAACTAATATGATCCATAAATCTGAAAAAAAAAATAATTCTGATTTCTTAGAGATACCTTTACTATGAAAGTACAATGCTAGTTATTTTATTGTTTTATGAAAGCTTTTATATTACCTTATAATAACCATAAGAAATTGCAAAGATTTTTTTTCCACAAGTAAAATAAATATTTATTATTTTCTAGATTCACAATTTTCCTATATCTAGAATGACTGAACAGACTTCTGCCTAAAACAACAAAGGAAACACAAGTTCTGATTAATCAAGAATTTTTTCATGTGTTCTTTCTCTGAAGTCGCTGGCTACAGGTTTAGTCTTTGACCTAACATACTTAGGAACTTTCCCCTGATCCCCCAGGATACAAGCATCTATAACTGGGATCTCTTGGGAAAGAGCAGAAGAATGACTTTGTCCCGGATCTGCTTGGTCTTTACTCCATAGACAATAGGGTTGAGTGCAGGTGGAATAATCACGTAGAGGTTGGCAAACATGATATGAAAGGTACGAGGGACATTATGTCCAAAGCGATGGGCAAGGATGGAGAAGAATGCTGGAATATAGAACATGAGGATGACACAGATATGGGACCCACAGGTGCCAAGGGCCTTCTGGCGTGCATCTCGGGAGGGAAGGCGAAAAACAGCACCGAGGATGAGTGTGTAGGAGACAGCAATTAGGATCACATCTATAATCACTGTCATGATGGGGACAGAAAAACCATACCAGATGTTGATGGAGATGTCCGCACAGGCAAGCCGGGCAACACCTATGTGCTCACAGTATGTGTGAGCAATGATGTGTGTCTTACAGAAAGGTAGGCGATTCACCAGGAAAACACATGGGACAAAAACACAGAAACTCCGTAAAGAGATTCCCACAGCAATTTTGACAATGGCTTTGGAGGTCAGAATAGTGGTGTATCTCAAAGGAGAGCAGATGGCCACATAGCGGTCAAATGCCATGGCCAGCAGTATAGCTGAGTCTAGGACAAAAGTGTAGTGCAAAAAGAATAGCTGGGTGAGACAGCCAGGAAAACTGATTTTCTGTGGACCAAACCAGAAGATGCTAAGGGTTTTGGGAACACACGTGGTGGACAATATGAGATCTGTCAAGGCCAGCATAGAAAGGAAAAAGAACATGGGTGTGTGAAGACTGTGCTCCACCACAATGAGATAGACAAGAATACTATTGCACACAATGGCCACAAAATAAATAAAGCAGAAAGGGATGCTGATCCAGACATGGTACTGCTCAAGTCCAGGGATGCCTGAAAGGGTGAAGGGGCCTGTGTTGTAGCTACTCAGGTTGTGCATGGCTGTTGAAATCCAATGCATATCTTCTGTGTCCTAAAAATGAATTGTTATAATGAAGATGAGAAAATTGTATGGTTATTATTTCTCCATCTCTTCCTCAGATCCAGTTCTCCTCTTTCCTATATTTGAAGAAAGAAATTCCATTGTTTTTAAGAACAGTGCTCATCATTTTAAGAAATAATCCTTAGACCCCAGTACTCCTGGCCTTCATCAACAAGTTCCTCTGGAACCTTAAAATACATAAAATGCTATTCCCACTTTAATTACTAAGTTTACCCTAAGTCAATATATTCTGTGTTGCTGTACAGGTATGTGTGGTGAGAAAAATAATCTAACTACATGGAAGAATACAAACTAAAGGAATGGGTCACAATTGGGAAAATAAGGTCATTATCAATTATAGACTCCTACTATACACCAGGTTCTTATACAAATATTATCTTTCTTAGAACAGCCTTTGGAAACATGGATTTTTAACCCCTTCATTTTTTTAAATTTTTTATAGAAACTGAAATTTTGAGAAGTAATCTGACCAAAAATGATCTCATCTTTAGTAACTTGTAGCATCTAGATCATTAGTTTCCACAGCCAACACCTTTCAGGCCACTGTCTCATGCCGGGTGACACTTTTACATATTGTCAGATGCCTAGAATTCACAAAGGGCATGGGAGTGTAGACAAAAGTGTGAAGTCCATCACTGGAACCACAATTTGTCCAGCACACCAATGCTACCCACGTTTTAATGACTGTCTTGAAAGTTCTTAGGACTAGCAGTCTGGAATGTCCTCTTAGACTGTCATGTTTAATCCCTCACATGGATAATGTTACCAGAAAAGATGTGAGGCTCAATCTCCAGTCCACCCTAAGGAAAGAAGGAGGAAATCTTGTGTAAGAATTAAGAAAAAAAAATCAGTTCTATTGTGCTTTTTATAATACAGAGGTGACCTCTAGTGGAAAAAAAATAAAATTTATATATTCTGAATTCTGGATCATGATAAAAGCAAATAAGCAAACTTTAGAACAAGGGCTGATACTTTTTAAGAACTCTGGATGTACAACAAAAATTGAAAAATCTTCATATGATATCAATTTTTAATACTATTAACAATCCTATGAGATAGGTATTAATATTATCTACTCTTCCTGAATGCAGAAAATGAAGGAGAAGGAACTTGTGTCAATAGCCACACAAGAAGGAAATGATAAACTGGGCTTGGTGTTACACACCTATAATCCCAGAGATTCTGGAGTATGAAGCAGGGGCACCAAAGATTGGAGGCCAGCTTAGGTAACTTAGGTAACAGCCTGACTCAAAATAAAGTAAAAAGTGCTGGAAATATAGCTCAGTGTTGGAGTATGTCTGGATTTAATTCCCAGTACCACAAAAATAAAAGGAAAGAATAAAATGATAAATCTGAATCAAACTCAAGGAGACTTTTCCTAAATTCCCTTATATAACACCAAACTTCTCTATAGAACCAGTAGACTACAGAGAGTATAGATATCAGTCTTACAAAAGACCCAAAACTAACCCATGTAAAGTTAGTAAATTAAAAGTCTAAATAAAGTTAACATCATAAAATCAAACTTATAATAAATATAGATTACTTTAACTCCCCTATTAAAAAAGCAGAGCTATTTTTTTTAATCTTTAATATTTATTTTTTAGTTCTCTGCGGACACAACATCTTTGTTGGTATGTGGTGCTGAGGATCGAATCCGGGCCGCACGCATGCCAGACTAGCGCACTACCGCTTGAGCCACATCCCCAGCCCCAGCAGAAGTATTTTTTAAAAATACATTTATATGTTACTCATGTAAGACCTAAAACAATATGACCCAGAAAGGATAAATTATAAGGAAAATGTATAATTCAGACAAATTTAAATGTAAAGGAAGAAAACTTACCAAAATGGAAATCAGATAAAGTAATTTCATTCATAAAGCATTAAGTATAATATAAGGAATACTCCTTGATGAAGACGTAAGTCTTGCCAGTGGCAGACAATTCTTCTTAGAACTCTTATTTGAGATAGTTTCCTAGCAACTTCATTTGCTTACTTTTTCTGTTTTAATGATCTTCCACAATTCTCCTTGAAATTATTTTTAATTGTTTAAGACATGTCTAGACATTAACTGGAGTAAGTTTGGTATTCCTGTGTGGCTCACCTACTCAAAATGTTGTTCTCACAGGATGGTTTTATATGTTATTGAAGTATAGTCACCCAATTCCAATGCCATATTTAAAACTATCATAACTCAGTACCATTGATTAGCCCCGTAAATAAAACATTAAGACATTCCACTTTGAGTCTGCTCAGTAATGTGATTCAGTTATCAAAACTTTGGTCTTTGAAAACCTCTAAGATATTGACTTTCTCACTTCTACTCATTTAAACTTTAGGCATCTTTGCATTCTTCTCTAACTAGGTGAAATTCTGCTTCATCATTTCAATTACTCTCTTACCAATATTTTGCTTGCCATTGCTCCACTGACCTTCCATCATGTATGTGTGGCAAAACTCGATTCCTAGATTAATTAACCTAGTAATTTCTCTAGGTCATGGAAAATAAACTTGCTAACTTTGTAAGGAGGTCTATTTGCATCCCCATAACTTCATGACAATTAATCTTCAACTTCACTCTTGATGCTGCCCAATGATCCATCCATGTTCAAATCCATCTCCTTCCATAACTTTTTTCTCTACTTTCCTCAATACCATCTCCATCCAACTTCCCCATCTCCCTCCAACTACATCTTTAGACAGCAACCTTTCATTTTATTTCAAAGAGAAATTAGAAGTCAGTAGATATGAAATCATGTATGACTGAGGCCTCACATTTGCATTGGCATCTTTTCTCTACCCTTATTTTCTTGTTATAGTTGGGGGAAAAAATGCCCCTTTCATATCTGAGGCCAAAATCAAATCTGTACCTTCTATCTCAAGCTTTCCCTCCTTGCCAAGTATCTTTCATTGTCATTCATTCTCCTTCTGTCCTTTGTCTTCAACATGGCCTTTTTAATATTTGTTCATTTAGCATTTAAACAATTTAAATGTACTGAAACATTTTCTTCTAGTTTAAATAACTGAAAACCAAGGGCACTTTCTCATTCATAGGTGGATATGTAGTTGTCTGCATTATTTATCTTTATTTCCTCATCCCCTGCTTATCTGGTTCCCACTAGTCCACTGAAGCTGCTTTCACTCAGGACACCAATGGCATAAGTGCCCCACCTCCTTAGCCTTTGTTTGACTTCTCAGCAGCACTTGACACTGTTGATCATCTCTCTCCATCCTGATGCATTCTCTTATCTTGAGGTTGTGTTACAACACTCTGAGACTTTCTTTAATTTCTCTGGCATCTTTTCTCATCCTTTGCTGCTCTTCCTATTCTGCATCTCTTTTATCCTGATATTTCTCAAGGCTTTGCCTGAGTCCCTTTTTATTCTCTCCACACTTTTTCTGATCTATATCATTAGCTCCTTAGTTCCCAATTAATAGTTACAATTGACATGTTCCAATTCTTTACCTCTCATTTAGATCTTGCAAGACACATAGATCCAATGTCTCTCTGGATACCCTCTTTTGGATGTCTCATAAGTACCTGGAGATTATTTTTCAAAAAATTCAGTACTCATACTTCCTCAAAGCCTGCTTTTTCTGGCTTTGTCCAATATGTCAGAGCATATTAGTGTTATCCACTCAATGACCCAAAGCAGAAACTTCAAATTCAACATTTATACCAACCTGTGTTTAAAGGACCCATGTGCAATGAAATATATTGAGCCAATCCTTTTTTGAATAAAAATTTAAAATCCTTACCAAAACTAAAAAGGCCTCAACAATCTGTTCTTGCTTCATCTTTTGAGCCATTCCAAAAATGTTTCTAGAAACATCCTGAATTTTCTAGAAATCAATGTTTTAAAAAAATTTCCATTAAAAAAGCATCGTGGGGCTGGGATTGTGGCTCAGTGATAGAGTGCTTGCTCAACAAGTGTGAAGCACTGGATTCAATTCTCAACACCACATATAAATAAATAAAATAAAGGTCCATTGACAACTAAAAAATATTTTTTTAAAAAAAGAACAATTAAAAAATAAGCATCATGATAAATTTCCCTATCATTTTATTTCCCACATTCTAAGTATGTAGTTATTTACTCTTACATTTTCACTTAAGTTTTCACTGAGGTGCATATATTTTCTCTGAAATGAACAGAAACGAGGCCACAAATAGAGGAAACCTTTGTGATGAAGAATAAGGCCACTGTCCTTCCTTCAGTTTGAGCTGTTATACGTAAGGCATTCTGAACTGGGATCCATGCCTTGATTGATCATACACTGAATGCGGCTCCTTCTTAACAATTGTTATTAAAAAAATAAATCTAGGGCTGGGGATGTGGCTCAAGCGGTAGCGTGCTTGCCTGGCATGCATGCGGCCCGGGTTCTATCCTCAGCACCACATACAAAAAAAACAAAAGATGTTGTGTCTGCCAAAAAGTAGAAAATAAATATTAAAAAATTCTCTCTCTCTCTCTCTCTCTCTCTCTCTCTCTCTCTCTCTCTCTCTCTCTCTCTCTCTAATACAAATAAAATAAATCTAAACACAAGGTGTGTTATTCCAAATATTTGAGAGGTAACGTGTTATATTGGAGCCAAAGTCTCCAGACCATGAGGCTATCTGCAGATTTCTCCCCTTGATTTAGAATAATTGTTTCCATTCCTTCTCCTGCTTTAAAGCAAAACTACTTTCTATGTATCAGTTAAGTCTCAGACAAGCCCCCTTTCATTCAGTTTAATGATATTTATATGATACTCCTCTAGGAACAGTTTCTAAATCTCTTTATATTAGAAATTATATCTCCTTTTTTATGAAATTCATCATACTTACAACTAATTGTTTAATATTAATTTTCTTCTGGCTCGACTACAATCTCTTCAAAGTCAAACAGCATGTCACTTTTGTTCATATTTTGTTTTGATAATGTACTCAGTGACTATATAGAGATGCCACTCAATAAAACTTCAGAATTGAATATCACTAATGAGTCCAGACAAAAATGAATATTCACATCGACTCAGTGTCTCTAAAAATATATTTTAATTTATTAAGTATTAATTATTTTAAAATAAAACAAAATAAGCTCATGAAAACTGATAGCCACCAATATGCCAAGCCAAGAAGATATAAAATAATTACTTTTAAAGATAAAAATGAGATAAAAACTATCTTTTTATTAACACTGTTCATTAAAACTTCATTAGCAATATAAGGCCTTTTTAGGGATTTCTTACTTTTGCCTGTC